CTCTCATTTTCTTTCAAAGATTGAATCGTTATACATTAAAAAGGTCAAAAAACATAACAGGTACCTTGGTTATGGTAATTTCATTCGAAGATTCAATCTTCACTCATTAAAACACTCTTCGCGACGTCAAAGGGATCACGAATAAGTTTAACTCAAAACTCAAATTTTCCTTCAAAGATTCAATCGTTATACATTAAAAAGTTCTAATGACATAATAGGTACCTTGGTTGTGGCAATTTCATTCTAAGATTCAATCTTTACTAAAACACTTTTCGGGATGTCAAATGAAACTGAATAAGTTTAACTCAAAATGCTCATTTTCTTTCGAAGATTCAATCTTTATATATTAAAAAGGTCCAGTGACATAAATGGTACCTTTATTGAGGTATTTTCATTCAAAGATTCAATATTTTGTCATTAAAACACTCTTCGCGACTTCATAGGAAATACCTCAATCGAATAAGTTCAGTTCAATCTTAAGTCATTAAACCACTCTTCGCGACTTCATAGGTAACTCGATTAAGTTAAACACAAAATACTCATTTTCTTTCGAAGATTGAATCTTTATACATTAAAAAGGTCTAGTGACAAAATTGGAACCTTGAATTACCTAATTTCAATTAATGATTCAATCTTTAGTCATTAAAACACTCTTCGGGATGTGATAAGGAGCTCGAATAAGTTTAACTCAAAAATCTCATTTTCTTTGAAAGATTTAATCCTTATACATTAAAAAGGTCTAGTGACATAAAAGGTAACATGATTGAGGTAATTTCACTCAAAGATTCAATATTTAGTCACTAAAATACTCTTCGCGACTTCATAGCTTACTCGATTAAGTTAAACTCGAAACTCTCATTTTCTTTCGAAGATTCAATCGTACCTTAGTTATGGTAATTTCATACAAAGATTCAATCTTTACTCATTAAAATACTCTTCGCGACGTTAAAGGGATTACGAATAAGTTTAATTCAAAACTCTAATTTTCTTTCAAAGATTGAATCCTTATACATTCAAAAGGTCTAGTGATATAATAGGTACCATGATTGAGGTATTTTCATCCAAAGATTCAATCTTTATTCACTAAAACACTCTTCGGGATGTCACATGCAACTCGAATAAGTTTAACCCAAAATGCTCATTATCTTTCGAAGATTCAATCTTTATACATTAAAAAGGTCCAGTGACATAATAGGTACCTTTATTGAGGTATTTTCATTCAAAGATTCAATCTTTAGTTATTAAAATACTCTTCGCGACTTCGTTGGTAACTCGAATAAGTTAAACTCAAAACTCTTAATTTCTTTCAAAGATTCAATCTTTATACAGTAAAAATGTTTTGTGGCATAATAGGTACCTTGATTGATTTAATTTCATACAAAGATTAAATCTTAACTAATTAAAACACTCATCGTGACGTCAAAGGGATCTTGAATAAGTTTTACTCTCAATTCTCATTTTCATTCAAAGATTCAATCTTTATACATTAAAAAGGTTTAGTGAATAATAGGTGACTTAGTTGAGGTATTTTCATTCCAATATTCTATCTTGGGTCATTAAACCACTCTTCGCGAATTCACAGGTACCATGATTGAGGATTTTCATTCAAAGATTCAATCTTTATTCAGTAAAACACTTTTCGGGACGTCATAGGGAACTAAAATAAGTTTAACTCAAAACTCTCATTTTCTTTTAAAGATTCAATCTTTATTCATTAGAAAGGTCTAGTGACATAATAGGTAACTTTTTTGAGGTATTTTCATTCAAAGATTCAATCTTTACTTATTAAAACACTTTTCGGAACGTCAAAGGGATATCACGAATAATTTTAACTCAAAACTCTAATTTTCTTTGAAAGACTGAATCTTTATACACTCAAAAGGTCTAGTAATATAATAGGTACCTTAATTAAGGTATTTTCATTCAAAGATTCAATCTTCATTCACTAAAACACTCTTCGGGATGTCAAGTGGAACTCGAATAAATTTAACTCAAAATACTCATTTTTTTTCGAAGATTCAATCTTTTTATATTAAAAAGGTCCAGTGACATAATAGGTATCTTTATTGAGGTATTTTCATTTAAAGATTCATTCTTTAGTCATTAAAACACTCCTCACGACTTCATGGGAAATACCTCAATGGAATAAGTTCAGTTCAATCTTAAGTCTTTAAACCATTCTTTGCGACTTCATTGGTAACTCGATTAAGTTAAACATAAAATACTCATTTTCTTTGAAAGATTGAATCTTTATACATTAAAAAGGTCTAGTGAAAAAATAGGAACTTTGAATTAGCTAATTTCATTCAAACATTCAATCTTTACTTATTAAAACAGTCTTCGGGATGTGATAGGGAGTTCGAATAAGTTTAACTCAAAATTCTCATTTTCTTTCAAAGATTCAATCTTTATACATTAAAAAGGTCTACTAACATAAAAGGTAACATGATTGAGGTAATTTCATTCAAAGCTTCAATCTTTAGTTAGTAAAACACTCTTCGCGACTTCATAGCTTACTCGAATAAGTTAAACTCGAAACTCTCATTTTTTTTCAAAGATTCAATCGTTATACATTAAAAAGGTCTAATGATATAAAAGGTACCAAGGTTAAGGTAATTTCATTCAAAGATTCAATCTTTACTCATTAAAACACTCTTCGCGACGTCAAAGGGATTACGAATAAGTTTAACTCAAAACTTTAATTTTCTTTTAAAGACTGAATCCTTAAACATTCAAAAGGTCTAGTGATATAATAGGTACCTTGATTGAGATATTTTCATTCAAAGATTCAATCTTTATTCACTAAAACACTCTTCGGGATGTCAAATTGAAATCAAATAAGTTTAACCCAAAACGCTCGTTTTCTTTCGAAGATTCAATCTTTATACATTAAAGAGGTCCAGTGACATAATAGGTACCTTTATTGAGACATTTTTATTCAAAGATTAAATCTTTAGTTATTAAAAGACACTTCACAAGTTCCTTGGTAACTCGAATAAGTTGAACTCAAAACTCTCATTTTCTCTCAAAGATTCAATCTTTATACAGTAAAAAGGTATAGTGGAATAATAGATACCTTGATTAAGTTAATTTCAATCAATGATTCAATCTTTAGTTATTAAAACACTCTTCGCGACTTCATAGGAAATACCTCAATCGAATAAATTCAGTTTAATCCTAAGTCATTAAATCACACTTCGCAACTTCATAGGTAACTCGATTAAACACAAACTACTCATTTTCTTTCGAAGATTGAATCTTTATCCAATAAAAAGATCCAGTGACAAAATAGGAACCTTGAATTAGCTAATTTCATTCAAAGATTCAATCTTTATTCATTAAAACACTCTTCGGGACGTGATAGGGAACTCGAATAAGTTTAACTCAAAACTCTCATTTTCTTTCTAAGATTTAATCTTTATACATTTAAAAGGTCTAGTGACATAAAAGGTGACATGATTAAGGTAATTACATTCAGAGATTCAATCTTTAGTCACTAAAACACTCTTCGCGACTTCATAGCTTACTCGAATAAGTTAAACTCGAAACTCTCATTTTCTTTCAAAGATTGAATCGTTATACATTAAAAAGGTCAAATGACATAACAGGTACCTTGGTTATGGTAATTTCATTCGAAGATTCAATCTTCACTCATTAAAACACTCTTCGCGACGTCAAAGGGATCATGAATAAGTTTAACTCAAAACTCAAATTTTCCTTCAAAGATTCAATCGTTATACATTGAAAAGTTCTAATGACATAATAGGTACCTTGGTTATGGTATTTTCATTCTAAGATTTAATCTTCACTAAAACACTTTTCGGGATGTCAAATGAAACTGAATAAGTTTAACTCAAAATGCTCATTTTCTTTCGAAGATTCAATCTTTATATATTAAAAAGGTACAATGACATAAATGGTACCTTTATTGAGGTATTTTCATTCAAAGATTCAACATTTTGTCATTAAAACACTCTTCGCGACTTCATAGGAAATACCTCAATTGAATAAGTTCAGTTCAATCTTAAGTCATTAAACCACTCTTCGCGACTTCATAGGTAACTCGATTAAGTTAAACACAAAATACTCATTTTCTTTCGAAGATTGAATCTTTATACATTAAGAAGGTCTAGTGACAAAATAGGAACCTTGAATTACCTAATTTCAATTAATGATTCAATTTTTACTCATTAAAACACTCTTCGGGATGTGATAGGGAACTCGAATAAGTTTAACTCAAAACTATTATTTTCTTTCAAAGATTCAATCTTTATACATTAAAAAGGTCTAGTGACATAAAAGGTAACATGATTGAAGTAATCTCACTCAAAGATTCAATCTTTAGTCACTAAAACACTCCTCGCGACTTCATAGCTTACTCGATTAAGTTAAACTCGAAACTCTCATTTTCTTTCAAAGATTCAATCGTACCTTACACTACAAGAAAAGTGGGCTTTTACGACGTAGCATTTACGGGATCTTTTATTTTCTATCGTAGAAGCCCCTTTTTACACATAAAGGGTCATGTTTTCACGGGATATTAATAAAATCCTTGTTAAAAACCGTTTTCACGGGAGTTTAAAGAGGCCCGTTAATGTTTACATATATTTACGAAGGAAAAAGCCACTCGTAGATTAAATATATTTTTAAGGGAGTATTTTCCTCCCGTGAATATGAAAATAAAAATAAAAAATAAAAATCCCGCCCTCACTTAACGGGGAAAAAGCCACTCGTAGATAAGTATTTTTAAGGGAGTATTTTCCTCCCCGTGAATATGAAAATAAAAATAAAAAATAAAAATCCCGCCCTCACTTAATGGGGAAAAAGCCTCTCGTAGATAAATATTTTTAAGGGAGTAATTTCCACCCGTGAATATGAAAAAAAAAATTAAAAAAAAAAAAAATCCCACCCTCACTTAACAGGGAAAAAGGCCTCTCGTAGATAAATATATTTTTAAGGGACATTTTTCCTCCCGTGAATATGAAAATAAAAGTAAAAAATAAAAATCCCGCCCCTACTTTTCATCTCCCGCGTGCATAAAATAGCAACAGTGAATAGCCCGCCCTTTTTTTTCCACGTCACCAACCACAAGCCAATCCCTTCTTTATTTTCCACAAGCCTTTCTTTCTTTCCCACGAGTCCACCTTGTTGCTTACTCTGCCGACAACACCCAGCTCCATCTTTGCCCTAGTATTCTTTCTTCCGTTATTTCTGTTGAGGAGGCCGGATCATTTACCCCATCGCCGCTTGAAGTTCTCTCTCCTATCTCTGGCTCGCTTAAAGTTCTCTCTCCTTTCTCTGCCTCGCTTGAAGTTCTATCTCGAATCTCTGCCTCGCTTGAAGTTTTATCTCAAATCTCTGCCTCGCTTGAAGTTCTCTCTCCTATCTATCTCCATTTCCATTTGAAGTTCTGGTTCGCTTGAATTTCTACCTAGACCAACACTGCTATTTGTTCAATCCTCTCTTTACTCTCTAGAACCAAGGATCCGGAGTTACCTTCATTCTTCAGGTAATCTGCAATCCCTCTTTCTCAAACATTTTATGGGTTTTCTTCAATTCCTATTTCTTAAACAATTTTTATGGGTAACACATGCATATTTTTTTTCTCTTGTTTATTGTTGATTTTATTTGCTAGATTTGCTTTGGTTGTGACTAGATTTGGGTTTTTTTTGTTTTCTACTGGTTGACCGATTTAGAGCTTAAAAATAGACTCAAAGAGAACAAAAAATTTCCTGCACCCGACAATTCTATCATCGGTCATGTGTCCTTTATAACAGTCCATCACTTACAACCACTTGAACCAACTAAGAGCTTAAAAATAGACACAAAGAGAACAAAAAAGTTCTTAGGTTTTTTGGGCCTTTAGCTATCAATTCCCAAGTTCCTTTATAAAGCTATAGTTAATTGGATATTTTGGTTCTAAGATATTAATGTTGTATGGATGATAATATTTGTTAAATTCACCAACTTTTAACTTAAAAAAAATGAGTTCGTCACTCTTTTTTTGCATAAACCAGGAGAAAAGGTTACAATAGCAAAACCACATGATAGGTACTATAACAAGCTGCTAATTTTAGTGCAATCTATAAAGTTGGATATTGTTAATATTATGAAGCATCTTTTTGAAATATATGGTAAGAAAAAAAAATCATTTTGCATCTTCAAATTTTAGTATTTTATTCCAATACAATGTAACTCTATCCTTTGCAATTTGACCAATTAAGTTGTTGGAATCTATTCTTATTCTTGATTGTACAATGCTCATGCTCACATATGTTTTGCTGCCCTGCATTTTCCTTAATATTTCTCTTGTATGAGAAGTATGCAGTTTGATGGTGAATTGTTGCACTGATTCCAATCTGAACCATAATTTTTAACTTCCAGGACTGAAGAACTTAAGGCCTCAACTTTATTCTACTGCTGAGTACTGTGAGAAGTCTTATCTCCACAGTGAACAGAAAGAGATGTAAGGCTTCTGCAATTAACTGTGAATTACTACATGTAATTGTTCTTTGAAGTATAACTATGGTGGTTGTAGCAACTATATATGTAGCTTTAACATCATATTAATAACTATATATGTAGCCTTAACAATGAAAAATGAATATTCAATTTTTTTTTAAAGTTTCATATCGTATACATTTGTTCTGCAAATTGAATGTTGGGGTTTTATATATGTGGCTCTTACCTAGATTATCAAGTTTCTGAACCATTAGGAGTGGTGGGTTTTAAATGTGTCCTTTATAACAGTCCATCACTTACAACCCACTTGAACCAACTTCCACATTAGAGTTAGGGTTGACTCCACTAATATAGCAACTTAGTTATCCACGTGACAGTCTTATAGTCGGCCACATGTCCACAATTTTGCCCAACATGTGTAACAAATAAAATTAGTAAAATACCTGGTCCAATTCGATCGCCCAGATGAAAATTTGACTGGAGTGCTGCATACTCACCTTTTTATACACATTTCAACCCTTGGCTTCCCAAGAAAAGGCCCACTAGGTATGCTTCAATAGAGAGGCATGTAAGTTTCTGAATTAGAGGAGTTTTGCTTGATTTAAGTCATACCCACCTAAATGTTAAAAAATAATTGGAAAAATACTTGTGGTGTGGAAGACCTCTCTTGGAATTTGTTTGAAGTCGCCCCCTCTAGTAATTCTAGTTGCACTTGCAATTCCTTCACAGTATGTACTGACAACTGGTGTTTTCTTTATGATTTTGCTATTCAGTAGTAAACATTTGTTCTTGTGTTTTTCATCTAATTTATGTTCTTTATGTTGGTTTTGGTTAAGCAATCTTTGAACTTAGGGCGTATCTTAATCTATACTAGTAACCCATCCTTTCGCTACTTGAGCCAAGGCACAATGGTTGAATTATATTTTTCTCCTTTTCCTGTTGAGATCTGATAAAGCATGTGTGGCGCTTTTTCTTTTTCTTTTTTCTTTTGGTTAGGTAAGAACTCATATGTCAAACACGCCCACATTAGGGAGGAAAGGGTATGCTTACACCACCTAGGCCAATGGCCTGGTGGATTTTGGCTGTGTCTTTGTTCCCAAACCATAGCAATTGAAAATGATTATATTCACTTTTCCTCCTACAATTGTTGCATTTCAGTTTCAGATGTTTTCTTAGTAAGCACTTTTGTGCAAGTTGTCAAAAAGGCCTTGGGGACATCATTGAGTTCCATTGTTTATAGATTATGGATTATATTATGGTTCCCCATTTCCCACCATCTGCACTATTTTTCCCTCCTCTTCCATATATGCGAGCTGAATTATCATCGTATCTGAAAACGAAAATGAAAGTAGAAATAAAAGGTTCTGTGGTGGAGCTATAGCGAAAAAGGATGCATTATCTCCAAATTATTTTACTTCAAAAAACTGCCCATAGAGAGGCGCGTAAGTTTCTAAATTAGAGGATCAACTAAAATAAAAAGAAAAGGACCATGGTTCATCACACAAGTAAGGAATTTCCATCCAATGTCACTTGAGAGTACTTAAAGAGAGTAAAATCATTCAGCCACCAAAGATGATTTTGAAAACATCCAGCTATCTAATATTTAGTTAGGAATATAATCTAGAGCCACGTTCATTAACCAAATAATCTGAATAGAATAAAGTCAACCCCTCCCTTCTAACTCCCCAATGGAAAAGAAAAAAGAAAATATATCTACATCTATATTTATAAAAATAGAAAGAGGGAGAAGCAGCCAGGTTTGTAGCCTTATCTTTTCCCTTTCTAGAAAGAAAAAAGAACTTACCTGGACAGGACTGGCAACTACAAGTAGTCCTCTAAGTACACCCGTTAAGAGACGGCCGTCAGGACCTGCCAAAGATATGGTCAAGGAACCAGCCCTACTAAATTTGGATCCCTCAACCTCTGTGGGGGTGAATGACCCATGTAGTGAGACAATGTCAAAACATCCCTACAAGAAAATGATGGAAAAAAGAGATCTGATTATCCATATATACAAAATTAAAATCATAAATTTGGCTAAACAACAAGGCCTAATACAACCAAGGTTCACTGGGAGGATTAAGAGAAATAGTACAAATACATATAGATAAAATCAGCTCGTATTCCCAATTCCTTGTAAAACTAACCTTCAAGTTTGCCACCCTTCATCATAAACCTTTTAAGGCCTCTAAATATAGGCCTATTCCACAAGTATAATGAACAAACAAACAAACGAAAAAAAAAAAATGCAACAATGAAGATCTAAAAGCACCTCAAAACTCTTACAAGGCCTAAAACAGAAATCTTGAGTTCTGAAATGTTCTGACAAATTATTGGAAAGTATCGAATGAGCAAATAATGAGAAATAGTACTACTATATCGAATTATTCCAAATCAACATATGCCACTAGTTGCAGTTTGAATGAGAACTCCGTTTTAGACAATAGATGCTCAGGCTCAAATGATAACAAGAATAAAACGAAATGACTCCATATGCATGACAAATAGAACAATATAAATTATGAGATGCAATCTGACACCTCCATGGTAAACCAATATTGACTTTTGTCCCCCTACAAGTTGAATTTAAGCTTATAAAATGTTTGTATAAAAAATACTATCCAATTTAAATAATAATTTACAAAAACAATTTTTTTATAGAAAAAGATTGATATTATTGTTTCAATTTGTAACTGATATAGGTTAATTAATATTTAGTAAATATTGACCTTTTTTTTTTTTCCTGGCAAAGAGAAAATATTACTTAAAATTAAACAAGAGCATTACAATTAACAAAAACCACCAATAAGATAGAGACCAATATCATGGATTAAATTGATACAATCACTTGAGCATCATATTCAATTTCCACAGCCCATTGAAGACCACTGCCGAAGAAGGTTCATAGTTCAAAACAATGTTTTCACCTCCAGTACCGATGCCTCACATACATGCTCCAACCGAGCAATGGCTGCCCGAATTACCATGCCATTGTTATATATATATATATATATATATATATATATAATTCACTTATTACATACGATAGAGAAAAGGATAAAATCCACCCAGTTCAGAAGAATTAGAGAGAATATATTAATAATTCACTTATTGCATAGGATAGAGAAAAGGATAAAATCCACCCAGTTCAGAAGAATTAGAGAATATATTAATAATTCACTTATCGCATAGGATAGAGAAAAGGATAAAATCCACCCAGTTCAGAAGAATTAGAGAGAAGAAAACAATTTAAACCATCGGTTTGATTTGTCACTCAAAAAGTCATTTCAATCAATTATATTTTTGTACAATATTTTTATTTTCAGTAGAGATAAACTGTTGAATTTTTTTTTTTTTTTTTTGAAGTTGACACTTATTTTAGATAAGAATCAGAACATATGATCGAGTGTTCTATTCACTTGTTCATTGGCAAACACACATACTATTTGACCTATATATATATATAAATCGATATGAATTGATGGTATGCTATTTAATTAGTTACAATTGCAGGAAAATAAATAGAACCACCCTTTTTTGTTTTGAATGTTCTGTAATTTATTTATTTATTTATTTTTTGATAGGAATGTTTTTGTATTAGCTTCTACTATGTAGTGTTTTATTTTCATATGAATTTTTTTTTTTACAGTTTGAATTTCTTGCTATAGTTGTTAAACTTTTAATCACAATAATATTGAATTTCTTTTTACAATTTGAAAAGTTGTTCAACTTTTAATCACAACAAAACAGTAAAAAATATGTGGTTTCTTGCCACTTTTACCCATAATTATAGACCTTATGTGACGTTTTGAAGAATAATACATCAGGCCCAAACCTCCCTTTTATGTACCCACTCCCAGCTTGCTTGGTGGTGTTCAAAAATTTCTTGTGCTTCTTGTTTGATTTGTTGTATAATATCACTTTTGCTTTAATGAAAAATAGGTAATGTTTATTTTCAGTTTATAGAGGAAGAACATGCTGCGAACGCCGCTAAGTATCTGACTTAAAGATTTTATGCTGGTAAGTTCTTTTAATTTCATATTTTTATCTATTCAATTTGGGTGTTACGTCTATATGCATTCATCCTCCTGTATTTACTTGTTACCAGAATGTAATTTCTCATAATCTTAATTTAATGTCCATTTACTGAACTAGATGTATCCAGTTTTCTATTATTATTTTTTCTTCCTTTGCAAATATTTTTTTTTTTTTGAGATGCAAGCAGAGATTTTCATTATTAGATCAATTATGCCAAGACAAATTACAAATACAAAAACTGAGCTCATGATTTTGTTGCTACAATTACCATGGTTTTCTTTATTCATCAAATGCCTAAATAGTTTTAGGAGTATGGTTTTTGAATTAAAAATCCTCATATCCATGAACTTAAAAAATTAATCCCTAAATTTACTAGCAAGCTGAACTAGCGAGGCAGATTGAATTGACCAATAATCTGCTCCCATCTCTATGTTTTTTCTTAACAGAGAAATTTGAAGTTTCCAATAAACTGAAAATATTACAAATTGCTTATGAAACCCATTTAGCTTAAACATGATTGATGGAATTAGCACCTTTACAAATTGTGTTTATTGTTCATATATATATATATATACACACACACACACACCATGGAATAATCATATATTTCATAATTTACTTTTTGTGACAGGTTCCTATTGAATAATTAGGAAAATAGTGATGGATAAAGAATGGATGCACATCTCTTACAGGTTATTATATGTAGTGGAATGTGTTTATAAAAGTTAAATCTTTTACACTAATTTTATATTTAATTAAAAGTTAAAGCTTTAATTTTATAGAGTTGATCCAAAGTATATAGAAGGAGCATGAAGGTTTGCCGATTGGGCTCAAGAGAATGCGGGGCATCCAGACAAGATTCTATGCCCTTGTAATGAATGTCGAAATTCAGTACACCAACACTTTGACACAGTATATGGTCATGTAGTGGAACATGGAATGGATCCAGCATACACGACTTGGTACTTTCATAGGGAATATCCGAGTGAATCTCCCCAACATGGAAATGATGGAAATGATGTTGAAATGCTAGAGACATATGAGATGTATAGAGATGTTTTCTTTGATGATGACAATGATGGTGTTTCGGATCTTAACTATGAAACAAGAGAGGCTGAGTTTCAGAAGGCATTGGAAAATGCTGAGACCCCTTTATATCCTGAATACACAAAGTATACGATTATGTCTGCAATGAACGCACTAAGAAAGTTCAAGATGGTGTCCCAGCTAAGGTGTTACGGTAATTTCCAATAGTACCAAGGTTTAGAAGAATGTTTCGGTCCCCTGAAATAGTAGAACAAGTAATGTGGCATTCAACTCATAGAAGTCGAGATAGGAAGATGCGACATCCGGTTGACATTCCTGTACGTCATGAGATAGATAAAGTATGGCCTTCTTTTGCATCAGATTCATGGAATTTGAGACTTGGCCTTTCAACCGATGGATTTAATCCATTTGGTAACCTTAGTTCAGCATATAGTTGTTGGCCAGTGATGTTGGTGGTTTATAATTTTTCACCATTAGTACTCATGTCTAAAGAAAATATGATGTTGACATTACTAATCCCAGAGCTGAAGCAACCGGGGAATGATATAGATGTGTATTTGGAGCCACTTATAGATGATTTGAAAGAGCTATGGGATAAAAGCGTGGAAATTTATGATGCATTTGCAAAGTCAAAATTTAATTTGAAGGTAATCTTGATATGGACAATAAGTGACCTTCCAGCTTATAGTAACCTTTCTGGTCATGTAACAAAGGGTAAAAAAGCTTATCCAATATGTTGTGATGACACATGCTTAAATAGATTGAATTGTTGTACTAAGACTATTTACTTGGGTCATCGCCGATTTCTGTCTCCTACTTACCAGTTTCGGAAAAAGAGGAGTTGGTTTGATGGGGTGAAGAACACAGGTGGAGGCCTAAAATATTGTCTGGGACTGAAATTTTTCATGCTGTGAAAAATATTAAAAATGATTGGGGCAAAAAAAGAAAGATAAAACTAGGTGTCAAGCAAATAGGTGGAAAGAGAAAACAAAAGAAAAAAACGGGAATTGTGGCGTGGAAGAAAAAATCTATATTTTTTGACTTACCTTATTGGGAGATAAATAATTGTAATAGTAATTTGTTTCATTATTTTAATTTATATTGCAGTTCATAATATGTCCTAAAAAAAACTTATTTATCTTTATTTGTTTTTAGGTATTACTCATTCGTCATAATTTAGATGTAATGCATATTGAAAAAAATGTTTGTGAGAGTATTATTGGGACCTTATTGAACATAAAAGGAAAATCAAAGGATGGACTCAAGTCTCGAATGGATTTGAAGGAAATGGGCATTAGGGGAGATTTACACCCACAAGAGTCAAAAGGGAAACATTACTTACCACCAGCACCTCACACACTAAAAAAGGAAGAAAAGTAGCTTTTTTGTAAGCGATTACAACAATTAAAACTACCGGATGGCTACAGTTCAAATATTGGGACACATGTATCATTAGATGAATGCAAGTTTACTGGCTTGAAGTCTCATGATTATCATGTCCTAATGCAACAACTACTACCGATAGCATTACGAGATATTCTACCAAAGGGTCCAAGGAATGCCATATTTCAACTATGTGCATATTTTAATGAAGTATGTCAAAGGGTGATTGATAAGACCTCATTGGAAAAACAAGAAAAGGAAATTGCCGAGACTCTGTGTATGCTTGAAAGATATTTTCCTCCATCCTTTTTTGACATTATGATTCACTTGACTATTCATATTGCACGCAAAGCTCGTACTTATGGACTAGTACAATTTCGTTGGATGTATCCATTTGAGAGGTACTTATATCAAATTTTCTTTCTTTTACATAGTTAGATATGTAATTTGATAACATATGTCTATTGTATTTATGTGCTTTAGGATGATGAAGGTTTATAAAGGATATGTTAGAAATAAAGCGAGAGCTGAAGGATGCATAGCTGAGGGCTATTTGGCTGAAGAGTGTGTGCGGTTTGTAGTGAACACATCAAACAAGCTTCTGAAATAGGGGTGAGACATTCACGAAATGAGGATTTTGAAGGCGAAACAATAGTAGATGGCCGTCCAATTTCGAAAGGGATCCCGAAAATGATGTCAAATGACATGTTAGAGATTGCTCATCGTTATGTCTTATTCAATTATGCCAAGGTGGAGCCATATATAGAGTAAGTGGGATAATGTCACGACTAATTAATTTATTTTATTATATTAATATATATAAAAAAAACTTAGTTGTAGTATTTGTCTTACAGAAAACATTTGGAGGAGTTTAAGCATATGGACAAGTGTCTCATAAAGAATGAAAGTGCGTTACAAAAGAAACATATGGAGACTTTCTGTTCGTGGTTTGCAAAAGTAATTGATGCAGCTGGTAATGATGTGTCTGATACAATTATGTGTCTTGCAAATGGGCCTAGAAGAGAAGTCACTTCACATTCTGGATATATTGTTAATGGACAACGATTTCACACTAAGAATGTATAGAGAAGCACACAAGACAGTGGTGTTTCGATTGAAGCGGAAACAATATGTCAATCCAGTGCAAGAGACACAAATCAAGTTGTTGGAAAAGTATCTTACTATGGTGTTTTAAAAGATATTCTTTTATTAGATTACTACACATTTAAAGTTCCAATATTTGATTGTGAATGGGCAAACATTAGAAATGGCATCAAAGTTGAAGATGGATTTGTATTGGTTAACCTTCATGAAGGTCAAAGTCAATTTCAAAGAGATCCCTTTATTCTTGCTTCACAGACTAAGCAAGTTTTTTATTCAAGGGACAAAGAAACATCCAATTGGTATGTTGTACTTAAAGCACCACCACGATGTTTTAATGAGTTGGCGTCTTTTGAAGAAAATAGTTATACGTCTTCTATGCCATTAGATGTATCAAGATTGGACTCAAACAATGATGATGGGGATGAACATTATGTGCGGTTGGATTGTGAAGGCATGACCGTGTAATTCACATGTAGTGTCTGCAGTTTCTTTTGTTTGTTACCTTTTCCTAGCTTTTCTATGCATATTGATGCATACCCAAAAGAGTTGCTTTTCGAACCTCAACCTGCCTATCAAATATTTAGGTTTTCTGAACAAAAGAGCTATATTTTTTTTTTTTTCAATCTGAACAATTTAAACATGGTTTTCTAATTTTTGTAAGTTTGGATTTGTATGTTGACACAATTCAGATTGTTTAGCTATTGGACATGAGTTGTTTATTTGTCATCTTTATTATGTGTCTGTTTATAGTAATATATATATATATATATATATATATATATATATATATATAATGATGTTAATTGATTCATTGTATCTTGTGTATCTCTTGTAATTATATAAAAATGGACTTTTTATTTTTATAAATAGGTCATTCTCATTATAAGAGCAGGGGAGGAGGAAATTGAAGAGGGAAAAAGATAGCTAAATTTCAGCATGCGTGGTCCCACAAAAGTAAGTAAAATACACATTTATTTAAAAATTTTTTTATGCCTTATATTAAATTGTAATGGATTGTTTTCTTTTCTTATTTTGCATGTGTGAAAAGTCCTCCAAAATGGCTCCAAAAAAAGGAAGAAGGGAGCGAAATGCTACTGTGACTACATTAAGGAATCAAGGAAATGAGGGGATTAGTATATCAGAGCGAGATTCAAACTCTCCCCACACACAGTTGGGTGGACAATCTGGAGGTTCTCCTGGACTTCCACTCGATCATGATGGTGGACAATCTAGAGGTTCTCCTGGTGGACAATCTGGAGGTTCTCCTGGACTTCCACTCGATCATGATAGTGGAAGTTCCTCTGCAAATGAGGCTGCAACAAATACCTCTACTGGCAAGGGTACTCATAAAGGTAGAGGTCAGGCAAAATTAATAGTTGTTGATTCACCACTTCCTATTCAATTCAATGAAAGAGGGCAGCCAGTTGGTCCGAATAACGAAAAATTTTCTAGTAGCTGTGGAGTACTAGCACGAGAGAATGTACCAATCTCATGTCAAGACTGGAAAAAAGCTTCAAAAGATAAACGTCTCCTATGGGTAGCTATAAAGGTATGTTATTTTCGACATCTAATCACCAAAAGTATACAATATTGTTTTTGATTGTTGAGTTTGCAGATTATAGTTTAAAGAAAATAAAACATAAAGATACTCAAAAGTACATGATATTGTTATTGATAGTTTGATTCTTACACTCAACGTAGAAACTATTTGAAGTGCCTGATTGTCATAGAAAATCAACTTTTCAAAGCATGGGAAAGAGTTTGAGTGATTACAAATCACGCCTTACCAACGATATAATTGAACCGGAAGGTGACACAGAAGTCATTAACTCATTGAGACCTGGCAATATAAAATCAATTGAAGAGTGGCAACAGTTCGTCAGTGATCGACTCTCTGATAACCACAAAGTAAGTACAACATTGATCGAATTATGTTCTCTTGTAACTTTATTATTTAAAAACTATTAATTATATTATTTATTTATAGGCAAAGAGACAAAAATTTCAAGACTTGCGAAGTATGCAAAAGTTACCACACACAACAAGTCGTCGGGGGTATGCTCGTCTAGAGCATAAAATGGTAAGTGGTACTTACTCTTATTGTTTATTGTGGTTGATTTATGCTCTCTCATTTTTTTTCACCTATGCTTTGATGTATTAGAAGAGCAGCCTTAAGAAAGCATATGGTCCTAAAACTTATATTTATAGACTCAATTATAATTGTCAGCTTAGTATTCAGTAAAAAGGAGTGAGGTTTGAAAGTTCACTTAGCAATGTAGGTCAAATAGAGATTCAAGATAGGTTCTAACAGTATAGTATCAGCATGTTAAACTTACCCATAACATCAACACACAGTGCACAGCAAGTTAATTACACAAATCAGTTCAAAACTCAACTTCAGCAATGGTTCTGCAGAACCCTTTTTACACAGTCTGTATACCTTGTGACATAGGGGTAACTTGGTAATTTTTTTTGAGATTGGACCTACTCGAGATACTTACAGGCTTGTTTCATCAACAAATGAGCATCTTGAATAGTTTCTCAGCCCTTTAATTTTTTGATAAGTATTTATGCTGTTTCAAATAACTATAGATATGACGTTATAAACTCATGTCTTTTGCATTATTTATTGTCTTGTGTAGAAAAAAGAAAGTAATACGCCCGACTCTATATCAAGAGTCGATGTGTGGATTGCAGGTCACTTGAGGAAGAATAAGGAACCTTTGAATGATGCAATAGGAGTGGTAGTGGTAATATATCTTACGCTACTGTATTTTGTTATTTTCATGTATTTCGTTTACAAACATTGATAAATTATGGAATTTCAGCAAAAAATGAGAGATTACACCCAAACCCAACCTGAAGGCACAAGCTCTCTTCAAAATGATGGAGTCACTCACGTATTTGGTGCCGAACGTCGAGGACGAGTTAGAGGCCTCGGTTTTGGAGCTACAATTTCAAAAATGCAAGCAATTGGTTATCAAAAGGAGCAAGCGAAGAGAATGGAAGAAATGATGAATGACATGAAAGATGAAATGAGGAATGAAATCAAAGCTGAAATGATGGTTGAGATGAAAGCTTTGTTGGTAAGTCTTATAACTAGTATTACAATTTATAGTGAAGTTAAACATAATTATATACATATAATTCCCTGTCAATATGTCATTTGAATATAAAGAACTAATTATGTTTAATCTATGTTTTGATTGAATTGTAGTCCCAAAATGCTTGTGTTGCTTCTCAGTCCAATGCTACGCCAAATCCTATTCCAACTAATCTGCAAGGTTATATGTGTGAGCTATTACCTTTAATGGATAAGGCGTAGTTGTTACCAAGGCTGAGATTGCATCAACAAATCCCGATGCACTGTCAGATGATTATGTTCCAGTCGGTCGAGATTGTTGGAATGTTTGGATTAATGATGTCATTGACAAGGATTGTCCTTTGTATCGAGCAAACCAATCTGGAATTTTTTATCTTCGTGATGCTCGCACAAGCATGGTTTTATAGCCTACCAAATATGTAAAAGTTCTAGAGGTCAATTGGACATTCATAAACCTTTTTTTTTTTTTTTTTTTTTTTTTTTTTTTTGAAAAGTAGTAATTAACATATGATCTGATTTTATTTTCTTTTATTTTATTTTTTATATATGTTGGCATTACATTTTTAATTTTTTCCTCACAGGATCTATTTTAACCAGCTTAGGAGCATAACAAAACCATTACTTTTGAAGTAAGATTAGGAGTATAGTTCTGGTTCTCAATCTTCATCTCTGGTAGGTATGTTCTGAATTCTACTATCTAATGCAGTTCATTTATCAATTATCACTATGTGAAGTCATGGGTCCTTGTCGTGGCCATTACTTTAATGTTGAAAGCATGGGTCCTTGTCGTGGCCATTACTTTATTGCATTGATATAACATGGGAGTATGGGAACATCGTATGTGGAGGTTGTGGTTGATTGGTATTTGTTGTTGATTGTTGTGAAGTTGTTGGTTGTTGTTGTGTACATGAGGTAGAAAGTTAAGTATTATAGAGCAGCCTATTGGTTTAATAAAAAAGGTTAGGTATTACTTGTAAAGGATTTTTTGTCTTCTTTTTTGTGAAGAAAATAATAGTTCACAAGGAAAAGAGGAAGGTCTATTCACTAGTGTCCACAGGAGTTTTTGTCTTCTTTCTTGTGAAGAAAATAATAGATCATTTGCCTTAGTATGTGATAAACCTTGTGTATACTGCACTGCTTTTATCAGTAAAACAAGTGGCCATTTGGGATAACAAGTTGGAAGAATGAGATCAGTAACACAACAACGAATTAAATAGCTAGTAATAGCAGAAAAGATCCAAAATAAATGAAATTCTAGTACTTAAAAAGAAACACACATATATATTTAAACCTGCCTGCCCCGACAACCATATGCCGGGATACTAAATAAGGTAGCTAAGGTGAATCTTTACAGTGGAAGACCAAGAAAGAAACACAGTTCTAGAATCCTGTGAATTCATAGTTCATTCTAATGGATTATAGTCTATCTTAAATGAACTCCGCTAGAAATGACAAGTCAAGTTAGTGTTAAGTTTCAGGTTCATCTATTTCCCAAAGATCATCAATCAGCATTTCAGATCCCATGTCAGAACTCATGTTATGTCATGTCAACACTTATAATGTAGGGTAAAGTGAAGAATGCAAATAACAGAGGTTATAGGAATTATCGCTACTGCAAAATCTCATTTGACAAAGAGCTCTCTTCAATTAAAAAGAAAACAAGCACAAGTAGGAGCTGCTAACCTCTGACAGGTTGTAAGTATGAGAAATGTGGATGGTGATTAAGCCCTTTGTCAACCAGGTAGTAATTCATTCAAAGATTCTTCTAGTACATGTGGTTGATGTATTTTACAGCTTCCCCAGTAAAGACCATGAATTGTCCAGTTCTGAGAAACAGTACGTACAAAGAATTTAGAACAGATTATTAATCAGAACTTATAGATTGTAAAATCATGTGCTTAGAACCAATTTTGAAAGTCAAACAAGCTTAGTTGAATATCAAAGACCTGGAATTGTCCAGTTCTGAGAAATATTACATACAAAGAATTTAGAACAAATTATTAATTAGAACTGATATATTGTAAAATCATGTGCTTAGAACCATTTTTGAAAATCAGACAAGCTTAGTTGAATATCAAAGACTGTCCCTTTTCCTGTAAGTTCAGTATATATATATGTGTTAGAAATTTAGATTAAGCACTCACCTTAACTATGAAGATTTATGTCTTCAAAGAAAGAACACATCCCCTTTAGAAGGTAAAATCACTCCAATCCTGGCCAAAAACCTTCAAATAAATTAATTTCCTTTTATTTAATAGTTAAATTCAACAAATTTCAATCTTAATATTTCTTGATACTCAATATACATTAAAGATTATATGCCAAAATTGGCCTAATGGCAATTAGAGATTTAGATTTTTTAAACATAAAAGGAAGAATTTAATGAGCCAATCCTTTGTATGCAAATTCATGAACAACACATTTAAGGTATATTGCCAGATTAGCAAACCAAAGAGTACTACTGCCACAAACTGCTTAAAATTTTAAACCAATTAAAATATATACACATCTTCTAAAACGCAACAAAGAATATCAATTAAACCAACCCATTATTAATGAAAATCAATACAACCCAACCCACCATTATCAACTATACACATCTGTATATTCATCTATTCATCTTTAAGACGCAAAATAGCTATGTAGAGATAGAAGAGTACTAGGAACAATCGCCAGGGGGGATACAAAATCAGCACATGGCATTATTACACTTGTGAAGAATGGAAGCCTAGAAATATATGTGTGTCAGTTCTGAAAGGCAGGGCATGGATGGGAAGAGCTAAACCTATTGTTCAAACCCCAAAAAGAAAGAACAATTGCATCTAGAACCAAAAGCATTGGTTGTATTGATGTGCTTCAGGTACTTCAGGAAGTGGGATTGGTGCACAACTGATCGAAGAGTTTGCTCTTACTCTACGTCTCCCCTCCCTGCTGACAATAGAAAAAAGTCCTATGTGCTAGCTTACACTCTAGCAATCAATACTCATCTGCGGAGCCACTGGAAACCACAACCAAGCACTATAACCAATAAACAAAAATAGATAAAAATAGTTCTAAAGCTCCCCTAGCTCTGCCAATCATAAGTTAGCCCATGTATGCAATGATGTTCACACAGAAATTCCAGTGTGTGTATATATATGTGTTTGTGAAATCTCTCTCTATTTTCACTTGATATGATTCTAATAATTTCTCCAATATGTTTTTCTTGTAGTATATTATGTTGAAGCCAATGAGTTCTTTAATATGTCCTCTTGAACTAATTGTTAGCATGAGCTTAGCTTTGTTGTTGTTTTACAACTATTAACTATATTTGTTCCATCTTAAAGTTAATTTTTCTTTGATGTCAAACTATCAATGTGCCTTAGAGATTTAAAAAACATAACAGTTATGTTTCTTACATTCTATGTTTAAACCTTTATTAGCAGTAGACATTCCTGGTAATCAAGTTGTAGACGTGGAACTTGCACTTGTGGTGTGTTTTCCCTTTTTTGACGTTTGTGTTCTATCTGGAATTGGACGATTGCATGACGGAGTTGAGTCCCTGGCAAAGCATGGGCATGTGGATTGCATATTTCTTTTTGGGGATTTTTTTATTGTTTTTGGCTTTTCAAAGTGTGGGACTCCATTTTTTATCACACCTTGGTAAATATTTTAGAGAGTATAAAATAGAAAACTACCATTTTGTCATTACTTCATATACATTATTATCATACTAAAATTAGGACTTGTGTGATGTCGGTACTTGCTTGGATTTTGTACAATGGACAACAAAGTGGAGGAAGTATGAAAAATTAGAAGTCAACTTGCGTCAAGAATTAATGAACAATGTGAAGATTGATATCTATTTTTGGGAAATATTGAATTTTCTTTAATTTTGGCACGTTGAATAATTAATGATGAATTGTAAATTAATGTCTTAATTTTGGCACGTTGAACAATTAATGATGAATTGTAAATTAATGTCTTATTCTTTTGATATATGTTTAATACTGAATTTAAAAATGAATTATTTTTTGTATTGGTATTAAGGGTAAATTTTTAGCATTTTATATAATTGTTTAGTTGAAATTATAGTCAGGTTATATATGTGAATGATTGGGTAACAGAATGCATTAATTTATTATATATATATATATATATATATATATATATATATATATATATATATATATATCTATGGGGCGCTTTAGACCTCGTTAATAAAATATATGGATGTATTGATAAGAGGCCAAATATGTCGTATATTAATTACTAACAAGAGGCCATGTAACACATTAATTAATTATTAACGAGAGGTCATGTACCACATTAATTAGTTATTGACGAGAGGATAAAGAACTCGTTAATTAAGTATTAACGAGATGTTATCAATCTTGTAAATTAATTATTAACAAGAGGTTGTAAGTATCGTAAATTTTAAATTCACGAGAGGATAACCATCTCATTAATTAATTAATAACGACATTTTATTTATCCCGTAAATTAATTATTAACGAAAGGCCAGAAATCTCGTGAGAGTTTTATTTACAGGACGCTAGAATTGTCGTGTTTTAATCTTTTACGAGAGTTATTATTTTCCGTAGCAAGTGGAGAGTATTTACAAGATCATAAAAGACGAAGGCTCAAAAGTCCCGTGAAAACATTTTTACGGGAGGTCCAGATGCTCATAAAAGACTTTTTTTCCTTATAAATTAATTATTAACGAGAGGCTAGTATTTTCGTAAATTAATTATTAACGAGAGGCTAGAAATTTCGTGAGAGTTTTATTTATGGGAAGCTAGAATCGTTGTACTTTAATCTTTTAGGAGTGTTATTTTTTCTCATAGTAAGTGGGGAGTATTTACAACACCATAATAGACGAGGGGCTCAGAAGTCTCGTGAAAAAGTATTCACGGGAGGTCCAGACACTCGTAAATGACCTATTTTCTTGTAGTGTTAGTTATGGTAATTTCATTCAAAGATTCAATCTTTACTCATTAATATACTCTTCGCGACGTCAAAGGGATCACAAATAAGTTTAACTCAAAACTCTAATTTTCTTTCAAAGATTGAATCCTTATACATTCAAAAGGTCTAGTAATATAATAGGTACCTTGATTGAGGTATTTTCATTCAAAGATTCAATCTTTAATCACTAAAACACTCTTCGGGACATCACATGCAACTCGAATAAGTTCAACCCAAAACGCTCATTTTCTTTCGAAGATTCAATCTTTATACAT